AAAAAGGTTCAGTCAAGAAAAGAAAGGACGCGTTTCCATATCGTACATTGTAGATTATCTACTTATATGTATGAGAGACACGTTTCAAAAAATAATCAATTTCATGACAGTCTTTTATCGGAAAAAAACTTGCAAATTTCTGGAAGATCTGGAAACAAATATTAGAGTTCCACGTAAGCAAAACAAAGGACACAACAAAGATTAAATATGTTGAAGCTTTTTCAATTTCTGTAAAAAATACTGACCTAAACTCGGACTATTCTCCAACCCAAGACCGATTACTAAATCGTTTCTTAGCAAAGGCCTTCTGTACAAAACATCTTTCAAGAGATTTAAAACGTTTATTAGATATTAATAGATGGATTAGTGTGCCAACTGGATGCGTTTGCCTTTTATTCAGTGCCAAATGAGCTATGAAGAAGATTTTTACTATTTTCTCCCGCTGCGTGTCCCTATTACTATGATCCTAAGATTTATCTAACTAAATTTCCGAGTTTTATAAAATTTAACAAAAATGACAAAGTGTACAGTGTCGGAATGTAAAGCAAAAGGATACCATTTCTTCCAAATAATAAAAAATACAAGAAATTGTGGGCTGAAGCAATAAGAAATAAAAATTAAAATTAGTCAAATCGCAACCATATTTAAGGTTATGTGGGGACCATTTTACAGAAAATAAATGTTTTTTTTTTTAAGTTTATATCAAATTAAGTTTATGGAATACTATTGTTTAAGTCTTTATAAAACTTGTCATGTGGTATATTCATAACATCATCTTGTTCTTATTCTGGAGAATGCAATTTACCAAAATAGTTAAAATTTCTATCACATGCGTCTAACCTACAAAAAAATATTTGTAAAAGTATGAGTTTTCTGAGAAAACAACAGAAGAAGTAGATAAACATTTACAGTATTATTAATGTGACATTAACAGAAAAACCATTCAAAATTTGCACATATTGTGGTGGTTTTACTAACCTTTTTACAAGGTCTACTTTTCTATCACTATATGACGTATATCTTCTTTTCGATTCTGATATAAGCTAGTCTTATTTCCAGGTGCAATGCATTGCACAGGAAGAAAAGTACTAATTTAGGATTTAAGACGCAAGACGAAGACCAAGACTACATCAGAAGTACCAAGAACAAAACCGAAAAAATGAGTGGGATTAGTCTTCGTCTTGCTTTGCGTATCACTAATCTTAAGCAGCCGATGAATAAACAATTATAGGTACTAACTTTGAAATTGTGCACCCCCTAAGTAAACCAACCCGTACCGCCACTGTTTTTGTTTCGTATACATTAAATGATCAAGTCTTTGAAATTTTCATTGTTGTACACAAATAATCTCTAGTAAGGTGGTATTAATCAACATATCTCAACAAATGAGAAAAACGTCGAAGGCTTACCCTGGAGTCAGTTTGAACTAAAGTGCCGCTGTTTAAGGAAGTGACCGATATTAACTTTTTTTTAATGTCCTGATTGGAAATGGACTAAGTACGCTGCTTAGACGAGGACGGCGCATTCCTAATAACAGTATCGGCACCAATCGCAGTGTCAGTGCACGATTCCGAAGACGCCGCGGCGAGATAGCGTGAAAATTGATAGGACAAATTAAACGTGCGTATTAGTGAGCCGTGGATATAACGACGGTCCATCAATTATTCACTCGGCAGGTAGATATTTTCGGACTTTTTGTCCGCATTGTAGGAAACGGAATTTATGTTCGAGTACGGACGGAGCAATAAATGAAGCGAGACAGTTTAATAAAATGGACAGTTTTTTAAAAAGAAAAATTCTTTTTTTAATAGCATTAGAGCCGGAATCCTAATAAATCCAATTTATAACAAGTTAATACCGATAAGTAGGGAACAAAGCGACGATGATACGTCAAACTTTTAAGCCCGTTATCTAAGAAAATAATGAACGCAATACATGAAAAATCACCGCTCACAATTAATTACAAACTTAAGTAACGAACTAATTAAAAAGAAATATAAAATTAATACCCATTTGCATTAAACAAATTACGTTTTGATTCAAATAAATTGGTAATACATATTTTATTGGGAATAGATTAGAAAGTATCGATTGCATACATTTTGTGATGTGAATAATAATACAAAATAATGAAATAAACAATAAAATTGTTCGTATGCATTTGTGTAAATGTATTTTTTAAATAATATTTTTAAAATTATTAATAATAGGGAATGAATAACAATCATGCCCCATTTCGTTCAGTTTATAGAAGCAACTCGTAATCCTTACGCTTACTACTCTGATATTGTCCCAGCGCATGCTCACAACTGTCTAGGCGGCTTAATTTTTCAAAAATAAAATGATCTGACCAATTATTAGGATAATGCCTAGTCCCCCCCCATATACCTGTTTTTAATTAGGGTTAAAATTTTCGGTATGTCGAATTCCCTCCTAATTATACATCAATTGCCTCCCAACGGCGGCGAATGACCTTGAGTGCTAATTGCCACTATAAAGTCAAAGAGTTGTTTAAATAATACAGCCTCACATCACATATTAATCTTAATATTATTCATATATTATAGACACCATAATAACAATAATAATTTTATCGGACTACCCTTCTATTGGTCAAATACAAGACAAACTAGAACTAATAAAGTTTTTCTGGATGATTGCATTAAAAAGCTAGACGCACACGAATTTCCAAACATTGAATTTGTTAAGGTAGTGGGAAACCATTTTAAAATTAAATAAATAAACATTTCATAACTAATTTGTGTTGTTTTTTTCTGAAATTATTTGATCTTTAATTTACTGAAGTACGATAAATAAAATCTGTAAGTAGTCATTATCTTAATTATTGGAGTTGATATGAACGGGAGGGAACTCGGAGGGAATTCGACATCTATATTTTAACCAAAACTACTTGCGGGAGGGAATTCGGCATCACCGAATTATTAAGTAGATCATTATCAATCGAAAGCTATTATGTTTTTAATTTTTTTTTTTAGGAAATGGGGTGCTAAAATTCTCAATTGACCTTGAAAAAGCTTAGTGCTTAATAAAAATTTTTCTATCCCTGATCAATTAGTCAAAGTAATTAAACTTTTATGACCATTTTCTAGTCTTCCGAAAGGTATAATTGGTCAATAGAAATTACACTTTAGGGGGGCTAAGATCGCGAAACCTAACTTCATACTAACAAATCAATCAAAACACGGTCTTCTGACAGGTACCCGTTTTAACTACACATGGTTCTGTAATTAAAACAGATGTATGGTAAAAAGGACGATATTTTACTGTCGTAACAACTACATAGTCATAAACAGTTGCATCTACTAAGAAACCTTTTAATTCATAATTCATTTGCTTGTTTAAATTTATCTTCGCAATTAAACCTTTTCAATTTCCAAGAAATAAACTATATAAGCAGAATTTAGAAAAACAAGGTACGATATTGCCCGTATCTCTGTATTAATTAAGTACGTAATATTAGCAGCTATTTAAACAAAAATGAACAGGTAATTAATTCAATAAAATTTATTAAATAGGTGCATGATAATTTACAACTCAATTAAAACCAAATAACAACGTTAACTTAATAATAATGCCAACTTTAAAACCATCATAAATCTCTGATGGGCAATAAAATGGTAGCCCAAATTTATTACACGTAAACGAGTTTATTGAAAATTGCACAATAAAATCACATTTTCATTGGGTACTCAAGCGCGATGAAGATTATCGGACTTAATAGCTGACCTAATTTTGTTTAAAAAAAGAAATTTCATAACTCTACCAACTAACAGGTGAAACACCTTTACGCAGTGTGCCAATGATTTACCACAAAATATATGCACCCCGTATAACCCCAATATTCCAGTATAATCCAAACAAACAACCCATTTATGCAAAAAATATAAATATATGTTCTTATAATCCGAACTTTGAGTAATCCAAATTATCAACGAGACTTACGGTTATTGGATACCTTTTTTAATCTAGTTAATAGGGTTGAAGGTGTATGTATAATCCGCCAGTGTTTTGGATTATAAATGTGATAATTATTATGAATTGTTTAGGTGAACAGGATCTAACAACCTTAAATTCATCCTTTTAAGTAATGTTTGATCGGTAATACTACCAAAACTTTTGACGGCAAAAATGTATATTGCGTTTTACAAACAGAAAATACGATTGGAAAAATATTTTAAATAAAATACAAAATGGTTTCCTCAAAAAAGTATTTAAATGCAACATAAAAATATTTTGTATTTGCATTTTAAATGCAAGCATTTCAAATAAATCACATCTCTGATGTCTAAGAACTGCCAGAATTATCTGACATACCAATTTTATTTCAAAGGCTTCTTTTACATCAATTATAAAAATCACCAAGTTCGATAATTTTATTATTATTTATTCCGCGATGACAGTACTTTCAATGTCACCGGTTCCTCGCCTATGATTCTGTTCTGATTCGGGTCTGAAGGCCGTCGTATGTTAGAGTTCCTGCGCAACGTTTCGCTAGCACGAGTGGCGAGCTTCTTCAGAGATGCACATGCAGCATCAAAGATGGAAGGACCTCTGAAGAAGCTCGCCATACGTGCTAGCAAAACGTTAGACAGCAAATCAAACACACCACGGTCTTTAGACTCGAGTCAGAACAGCAACAGTTAACCTAATAAATTTTCCTTTTTAAGTTTGCTGCCTAAATTGGCTAGGGACATAATTGTAATTTGCTAATTAACACCACGTTAACAGTAAAGCAAACCACTTGAAAAAATCGGCATACGAAACGTATGTTGTTTCGCAATAAATATTAATAGCGGTCAAAAGCTCTTCCGTTTTTTTTTTTTCGAATCGAAAGTTCAAAATTCTTGATGTAAATTGTATTAGAGTGTTAGAAAGTCGATTATATTGCGGCGATCTCATCACAAGGCATCAAATTAGTCACAAGTTAGTGTAATACGTAATAATGACAACAGTAGAGCATATCGTACAAATATACTTACAGCATTTTAGTATCAATCGATCTGGAACTGAAATTAAATTCAATTAATTCTTAATCTTGATCAATTTATTTATCTACAATATTCCTTATTCTGTACCTGTACCTACGCTTATAGGACATCTTTAGAAGATTTTCATTTTTTTTTTGTTTTGCTTAAATTAGCACTTTGGGGAATATTACAATTAGGGGCTTTAAGCCTTTTGACAACTAGATCTATCACAAAAACAAATAAATTAATTAAAAACTTCTACGTAGAATACACAATTGAAATAATTGGGTAAGTTGAATCGAAGTTATTTCTCAATATCTACTTTTTAGGGGTTTCCACAGTACATTACATACACTACGCGAGTCCGACTAGCATATTGGTCAGTTTGTTGTCATTTGATTATGCAACCCCAAAAGAAAAAGCTGGTTAATTATTGGGACACAGTAATTATTGGTTCTCAAAATTCAATTTTCGTAAGGGCGTGGAAATTATACGGTCTTTGTCTGATTTCATTATTTTTGTAATGATTTTATACAATATACCTCTGCACTATATTGATTTTCGCCACGCCCGCGCTCGCTCGCTTGCCTGACCGCATGCTTAAGATGGCAAGGAACGTGTCAGTCAGTTTCCGCTCTCAGGCGACCAATTTTTCTGGATGCAGTCGCCACAGGCGTTTAAAAGTCGTTATCCTGCGGCTTCAAGGTACACGCTGCCAGCGGACTTCGCGATAATACGTAACACAACTGTAGAAGTGTAAAAACTATGCAAACCAGCGAATGGTTCCTAACCAATAATACAATTTTCCTTGTACCTCATTTCTACATTTTCAGTGTATTTAACATCTTTTCCAATTTAAGAAGAACATGCTCCTAATTACGCAAATATGTATTAAAAAGATGATAAACTTTAATTTCAGTTCAATTTAATGACTTGCACCTTTAAAATAACCTTCTCAATATTTAGTAATATTAAAAAAATGTGGAAAACCGAATTACTTTCAATTGTATTTTAAAAACACTTTTCTTCCTTCTTCAAATAGCAATGACAATAATGTTTGATTTATTGTCTATTTAAAATATTGATTGTTCAATAACACAAATTGAACCAAAAAATTAAAACATAAAATTAGTAAATACCACAAATGGCGCGGTAAACGCCATCTGCAGTACGATGCTACATTTTAGGATTACGTATGTTCCAACAAGGTCCACTTAAATATATGGATATCTACTTGCTGAAACGAATCCCGGCGTAGCTAACCACTACGTGATACGCACGTTACCATAATCGAATAAAATAATTCGAAGTGGTCTGTATTGTGTCGAATCTGCCAGACGCGGATCGCGATTTCGATCTTTTTGGATCTCATCAGCGCGGCGCAGACAGCTCCGACAGAACACAGACCAACTTTTACCAGCTGTATTAACAGCGCGTTTTAGAAAATAACTATGCTGATGAGATCCAAAAAATCGAAATCGCGGCAGTTTCGCCAGAATACAGACCACTTCGAATTATTTTATAAAATTAGTCTTCGGGAATATGGTGAAATTTTAAGAACATGCGAGCTAGCTATTTGGATCTTAATGAAATCAAAATCAAAGAAATTAGAAGGTATCACTGTATTTTTTTTGTTTGCAATTACGTAAACATTTTCGTGTTGGTGTTGTTATATTTTGTTATTTTTTACGATTATAGCGAAGAATTTCTCAAACAGAAAATACTGAAGAAAAATACTTTCAGAGTACAAATGACTCAGAGTAGTGTCATCAAGAAACACGACTGATTTAATAGCCCATTGTTGTATCACAGCCACTATTCCTCCTTTTTATAAATGAAGAACAAAAGCAGTTTTAATTAAGACCCGCCTATGAATAAAACTAAAGTCGTCTATTCCGACAGTCTCGAAACTGATTCTTATGAAGTAGTTCTCTGGAATTTTAACGTAAACAATGAATGAAAGCGATAAAAAGACCGTTAAAAATAAAAAGTTATACGATTCTGTCTAATTTGCATAGCAGTTTGCATTTATATTCGCTTTAATTTCTACTGTCTTGATTGATGAAAGCTGATATATCTCGGCATTTATTCGCGCACATGGCAGAGCAAGCATTCACAATAAAAAAGTAAGAATAAGTTTAGACGATGTGTAGCGGCTCCTTGAAAGACTTGATTATATATTCGCATTTTTCTGACCAGTGTTTTTATTTTTACATTCTTTATTTATTTTTAGCATTTAGGTGAATGGCTTTGATAAAAATTTTATATTTACCTTCGCGTAAATCGTATAGGAATTGTTAAAAAATTAACACAATTAATTAAGGACTTAAAATAGCCAATGTCAGTGAATTTTTAAGTATAACTTTATTGATTATTCCTGTAATTAATTCAGAAGACATAAAATAATTCATTAGTTTAACGGTAAAAGACCTTGGGTAAATTCTCGTTTAGTTATTTACTTAAAAATCTAAAACCCAAACCTGCAACGTTATTGTCACAAAACATTTCTCTATGCTCTAAAAATTTTGAGACAGTTTATCTAATTTTGAGGGTGCGCGACATTGGAATCCTAAAGAACCTATAGCGTATATGTAGAACATCCACATCAGCTAAATACTTAAAAATATTCAATTTAGAAGACGTTCGTTCCATTAACTACCACACCAAATGGTTAAGTGCTAAGGCGTTAAAATTATTTTTACTAAAATCACATTCTATACCAATAAATAAGCAGAATACAAGAGAACAACTTAAATAAGCTAATATTAAACTGAAAATTCACTGTAGCAAAATTTTGGTTATGGAAACTTTACATGACTTCTAACGAACGCGTAAAAAATATTTTTACAAATTCCTTTTAGTAATTACAATTCTTGCTATTGATTCGGCAATTCTCCGAAGTACATTATTATGTAGTTAAATAAGTTAAAAAAAAAAAGAACTACCAACTAGGAATAATAGTGAATCACTAATTTTCCAAAGTATACAGTCCATTTTGCTGTTTTGAATAAATTACTGCGTGGGCTTGAGAGAAAACCAATTAAAATGATTCATGTTTGTGTAATAAAGAGCTTGCACTGTATTTACGCTTACAATGATGCAATGTATATGAAGCTGCTACATTGGTAAAAATACTGTCTTGATATAACAATTGCATAATTCCAAAAAAGCATACCATAAAATGTTAAATTTAAGTGGTCGAAATTCACTTTTGTGAACAAAATTCTGACGTAGTGTCGGCCATCATTCTTTTCTAATTGTTGCTGTTGTCGGCCATCATTCTTTTTCAATTGTTGTCGCATTGTCACTGATGCCGGCCATTATGGTTTTTTAATAGATGTATAGTAATCAATGATTAAAATTTTAAGGAATTGTTTGTATATAGGTATGCAACACATCGTACACTTCGGCATAATAAATTACTGATACTAACTTTCATTTACATAATACTACTTTGCCGTGTGCTGAAAGCACTCATATTTTTTTTTATATATAATATTACAATAAAGAATATCTTCCAATTGAACGGTAGTTTATATTATAAATAAATTCATTTCTTACGAAAATTTCAGACTAAGAGGAAGGAGGGATAATTGTATCTTATGATATCTTACAATACAAGGGGGGATTAGCCTTAAAAATACCTTACGTAATTTGTAAACGACCCCTTGGACATATATTTGACAATGCTGAATTGTAGAGTTTGGCTGCGAATGATGGTGTCATTTTTATTACCCGATTACAAGCAACATCATTTTTAATTTCATGATCCCACGTGAAAGCTGCTTGCCGTTTTGTTTCACTGTATATGTATGTATCGCGTTGCTTTGTCATAGAGTCCATGCTTGGGCAGTTTAGTGCAGTTAGGCAAGTCCGAGACGTCCCATCATATCCTCATCAAGACCGCAACCGCTAATTGACGACAGTCACTACCCTAATTAAACTTGATGTCACTACGCGCTTTCCCGCCAAATTAAATCTAATCATCTTTACTAGAATAAACGCAATTTATGTAGACAAATAGATCCAGTGGCGTTATTACAACAATCCTTACATCTAACTACTGCGTATCGTGTGTTTGTTGTTATTTTATAATTTATTATCATGTACATGCTTGTACGTATGTAACACTGTTTTTGGTGGAAAAATTACAAGTAGGTTTTTAAGTAACTATTGCTTTCAATATAAAAAAAGAATCACCCATGTTTAAAGTAAAAACACCCTATAAGAACAAATGCTTTCACGGCCGGAATCCATAGTAGAATGAATATTCGGGCTATAGGGCCGTGGTCTAAGTGAAGTATTGTGTCCAGACGTTTCGTCAGCTACTGCGGCTGTCATCCTCACTACCACCCTATTTTCTCATAATTATTTAGCGAAAAACAATTTTTCACCATTACTACATATCTATATCTAGTGATTATAGTTTCTTATTTATTCTGATAAAAGCAGAACGACTGTAATGTTAAATATTTACTTTTTTATCATAACTTTGATACACTTTTTACTACTTTGGAAACTGAAATCAGTGGAAAACTCCTTGATGTTCAATTTTGAATATTATTAAAATACGTATGCTGACCTATGGATGAATATTTGTACAGTCGATTTACATATTAAAATCTTTTAAACCAATTGATAGACGCGTTAATATTTTCAGTGAATTGTTTTTTGTTTCAAGCCCTTTTAGGAATTTAATTTCGAAAAACCCTTTCATCAGTCACATTTAATGAATCTCCGTCTCACATAACGAAGCCACTGTCCAAATTTCGTGTTCTACATTCAGTGTGCTATAAATTTTTACTGTAAAGTATTCAAGCTAAATCTCGGTTCCATGAATTTCTAAATTATTATTATTTCAGTGACGATAGCATACTCAATTTTTTAAAAACAGTATTTCTGGACATTTTGTCCACGTAATGTTACCTAGTAGAAATTTAATATAGGTTTTGAAAAAGATCAATAAGGTTTTACCCATTTTGATCAATAATAAAATTTAAATCCAATAATAAAATTTAAATCCAATAATAAAATTTAAA